GCCTCTTTTGCATTTTTACACAGAACCAAACAGCAGTGGCACCATGCCACTAGCATTGCGGAATCAAAAGAGGCGTGACATGTAACACAACAGTGGCAGCTTCTAGTGTGACATATAACAGACGTGTCGGGGTTGCAGAGCCTACAGTGTAGCCTGACATGCACCTCCCCAGAAATGAAACTTTGCAGCTCAAAGGCAAGAAAACTCTGGCCCCTCACTGTAAAATCATACCTTATACACAGCACAGTACTAGGTGCTAGATGGAATAATGGGGTGAAATTCCCACCCTAGAGAGGCAGCAGTCCTTTTTACACAGAGATGGTGCTTTAGAGCCACATCAAAGTCCCTTCTGTACGCCTCCTCTGCATTTTTACACAGAATTGATAACTGATTTTAGACAGCATCTTGGTATTGTGGAATCAAAAGAGGAGTGATGAGTAGTTCTCTAGTGTGACATTTAACATATGCCTCGGCAGCACTTTATAAATAATAACAAAGGCATATCATGGCAATAACAATCATTTACCGTCTCTGTTATATGGTGACTGATCTCGGCCTCTGCTCGGAGGGTGAGGAGCTACCAGACCTCATTGTTTTCCCAATTTGTGGACATTTTCAGCCACTGTTGTTACTCTTCGAGTTAGCAGCTAACTGCCACAGCTACTTTTTAACTCTCCTTTGGTGGGTGGCATGCATAACACGTTGTCATAACCGTGCTGCCCATAATCCCGTTCTGCCAGCTGTCCACAACCCCCATTCTCTAATCGTACCTTATATACAGCATTAACCCTATTGTAAAAGTGGCTAAAGTCTCATCTTTCTCTGTCTTCTCCTCTCCTCTCCTGCTCTCCTCTACTGCACATTTTCCTCTCCTTGCCTCTACTCTTCTTTCTCCTCATCTTTCCCTCCCTGTGGTCTCCTGTCCTCCCAACACTATGTTCCATCCATTACCAGCAGGAACACTGTTGCGCCTACTCGTTATGAAAAAGCAACAGCCAACGGGGAAACACCAACACTAAACTAACCTATGGTGTAACTCACTCACTCACTCAGTCACTCACTCACTCACTCACTCACTCACTCACTCAGGGACAGTAAGTGTTTTGTGTTTATAGGGCCAGCCAAAAATCTCCATTCCTGTCTACATTCCTGTGTAAGGTCTGCAGTGCTGAGGTCCTATCAAAACACTTTGTTCAGCACTGTTAATCTGACTGACTGACTGACAAGCAGGACTGAATCTGACACCATTGCATTACATTATTATTTTTGGTTGACCCTTGTAGGTCATTCTGAAAAGTCAACACTGGAAACTATGATATTTGGTTTGGCTAATTGCAGCGCTACTGAAAATCTTTCTTTTCACACTTTCTTAAGGTCCAAGGCAAATCTTAAGTCTTCTCAAGCACACTTTGTTGAAAGTTAGGGTCTGCGAAGCACTTACACTTCCATCATACTCTACTGTGTGCACTCAGCTGTCCTGCAGGTTTGTTGGGTCTCTTTCTGAGGTGACTGAGTGAAACCTAGATCATCTCCAGCCTGTGTGTCTCACTGATGCTGTGATTTAAACACTTGTGTAGAACTGGCAGTGATCAACTTTTTGTTTAATAATTCTGTGTTCACAGTTTTTGTTACTTTTTGGAGGTGGTTAAACACTTAACGTAGCAGTGAGCAAATAAGCTTTCTTTCAGCTCTAGGAGCATCTGATGACATTTCAATTACAAGAAATGGTAGGGGGGATTTCCCATTAGCAACATGTAACCCTGCAAAGTTGTGATGGTCCACGGGACATAAATGTTGTCATCTGTTCATACACATGACGGTTAACATGACGTCTGGGCACAACTACATAATTTATGACTGGACTGTATGCACTGACCACACATGCTGAATGCACGTGTGGTTTGCGTACCCTGACACCAGTGTGGTATGAACAGATCTGCCTGTGTGTCTGTTGTTTATTTATATGGAGTATATTTTGGTCTTATCTTGGTCTGGTTGTTTGTTGCTAAGATATACCTGTTTGTCAGCCCACAAGTCACATCCAAATATGATATACAATAGAGCAGTGGCCACAACAGCAGATACAGTACTTCCTGGCTGAAATATATTGTGTCATACAGAATACTAAATTCAGCTGCAAACAAACAACAAAACAGAAGAAAATAAAAACCCACAGAAACATGAAACACAGTTTCTTTGGCTCTGCAGTACACAAACAACATCTGTCATGTTCAGTCATTCCACACCAGACAAACCTGTGGTCATGAAAGACTCTCCTACAGGAAAGTTGTGGCACGCTCAAAAAACACCTGTTTGGGACATTCCACAGGCAAACAGGTGAACTGGTAACAGATGATAGTGTCATTGAAAGGTATTAACGGGGCATCCTCGAAGGCTCACTTACACACAAGCAAGAATGGACACCTTGTAAAAACAGTGTGGGCAAATAGTCCAGCAGTTTAAGAACAACCTTTCTCAACACACAATACAATGAATTTTGGGACTTTACCACCTACAAACCATAATAATATCAAAACATTCAGAGAATTTCTGCACAGAAGAGCCAAACCTAAAAGCCAGCTTATAATGCCTGTGACCTTTGACCCCTCAGAGTGCACTGCATTAAAAACCATCATGACTGTATAAAGGATTTTACTACATGGGCTCAGGAACACTTTGGAAACCATTGTCAGTAAACACCATTTGTGTTTGCATCTGCAAATGTAAGTAAAGACTCTACCATGCAAAGTGAAAGCCATATGTCAAAAACATCCAGAAACACCGTTGACTTCTCTGGACCCAAGCTCATCTGGTAGTGACACAAATTGGAAAAGTGTGCTGTGGTCTGACTAGTCCACATCTCAAACTGTGTTTGGAAATCATGGACGTTGTGTCTGGGCTAAAGAGGAAAAGAACCATCTAGATTGTTTCTTGCTCTAAGTTTAAAACCAGCATCTGTGATGGTGTGGGGCTGTGTTTGTGCCCATGGCATCATAGGTAACTTGCACATCTGTGAAGGCACCATGAATGCTGAAAGGTACATTCAGGTTTTGGAGCAACATATGCTGCCATCCAGATGTCGTCTTTTTCAGGGACGTCTCTGCTTATTCCAGCAAGACAGTTAGACACATTTTGCAACAGAGTGGCTCATAGTAAAAGAGTTAAGGTATTAGACTGGCCTGCCTGCTGTGCAGACCTGAAGACCATTAAAAGTGTGTGACACATTATGAAGCACAAAATTCGGCAACAGAGACTGCAGACTGTTGAGCAACTGAAGTTCTGTATTAGGCAAGAATGGGAAAGAATTTCACTTTCAAAACTTCAACAATCCGTGTCCCTAGTTCCCAAACACTTAGTGAGTGTTGTTAAAAGAAGAAGTGATGTCACGCAGAGGGAAACATGCTCCTATCCCAACTTTTATGGAGCATGTTACAGGCATCAAATTCAGAATGAGTGTATATTTACAAAAAAACAAAAAGGTTTATCAGTTTGAACATTAAATATCTTGTCTTTGCTCTTTATTTAATTGGATATAGGTCAAAAAGGATTTACAAACCATTGCATTAAATATCAGTATCATGTGTCTTTCACTGGTAGAAATATGCCACTTTAATTTTGGGACACCTGGACCAAAGGCCTGAGTCAGGCGGCCTGACTATTTATAGTGAATAATTATACATTCAGATCTGGTAACCTCAAGAAGTGAAGACAGTTGCAGCAGCAAACAGTGCTGGCATGAGCACATCACCAAAGTGATAGTGAGAAATGCAAGGTTATAATGACTGGGTTGTACATCTGCATGAATATGACTGGAAATTGCTGAAGAATGATCCAATGATTGTGAAGCATGACTGAAACAGCTGATATTACCCCCTTTTTCACCAACATTTCCAGGAAATTTTATTACCAGGAATTTGTTTACCTGGTAATCTGTGTGGTTTGCATTTCCACTGCACCTCAAAGTTCCGGAAAATGTATTCAAATTAGCGTGATGACGTAGACGATTCGGCGTGTGCCCTGTATTTGGCTCCGCCAGCTTGGCTGGTTACATGCTGGTGTAAAGAGTTGGGGCTGTTTGTCTCAGCCAGCAGCTAACTTTTAAAGTATTTTAAGATAAGTGTCAAACTAAGTTAGTCTACATACAGACAGCTGTCATTTGAGCTTATTAGTAACAATTTGCTATCAGCTGAACTAGCGTCCTGTCCTTGTGTAAGACATAACGTTAGTGTTGGTGGATGAGAGACTGTGGACGGAGCATATTGAATATCGCTGTCTACATGTTTTTTGTTCATGCTTGCTGAACACATGTATTGATAAAGTATTGGCGTCTTACTCACTAAGGGTTAATGTCACTTACAATAACGTGTGTAGCTGCCATCAACTCGAGTCATTTTCAAGTTATCTTCACTTTGTTTCCACCGCAGCAGCTCGGCTGTTCACCGGTTACCGTGTCGCATCAGTGTGTATGTGGATGATGTGTGTAGTGGCGATTGGCGCCGGCACAAAAGAACCGATACCATTAGCGCTTATCAGTACTACGGTCTTTGATAATATAGCGTTGGGGCGAATTTATTCCCGGTTTCTGGTACCCATCCTTAATCAAAACACAAACGAAGTGAAGCTTGTAGAAATTAAATAAAGCTTGCAGCGGCTGCCCATGCCAGGAATTGCAGAACGCTGCGTGTGTTCCACTGATCAGTGTTCTTCTGCAAACAACCCCGCCCCTCAAGAATTCCAGGTAATCTGAAAAGTCCTACCCCCCTTCTAGGTCCTTTTTCCAGGGTAAATTTGAGGTTGAGGGAAAGTTTTTTACCCAGGTAATTTCGATGGAAACGCGCAGAGGTTTTTCAAAATTCCGGGTAATTGATAAAAGCTCCTGCGGTGGAAAAGGGGCTATCAATGCTCTGTCTGAAATAATGCTGCACTCTATAGTTGATAAGTTTCAGTCAACCCCATGTCAGTTTTATTGCTCCCTTTAACCTCTAACCTTTATGTTTCAGCTCCTCAGGGTTATTTCCTGGAGTTTGTGGAGCCAGTCAACAACATCACCCACTTCCAGGGCCAGACAGCCACGCTACACTGCAAAGTGACAGGAAACCCACGACCGACCATCCGCTGGCTGAAAAACGATGCCCCTGTGGTCCAGGAGCAGGGACGCATAACCATCCGAAAGACAGACGCAGGATCCAAGCTCCGCATCCAGGACCTAGACACGACAGACACCGGCTATTATCAGTGTGTTGCCTCCAACTCACACAAGGTCATCTCTGCCACAGGCGTCCTGTACGTCAAACTAGGTAAGGTTCACATTCATATTCATACATAGACTTAGTTATTATTTATTAATAAGTTAAATGAAACACTCAGTCTTGTAATTACCTGTTTTTATGCATTCGTGTTGGTGTCAGCCATTACCAGAGGCATTATGTTTTTGGGTTGCCCGTCCATCCATTCATCCAATCTCTTCTCCTGAGAGCGATATTTCAAAAATGCCTTTTGGCACAAATGTCCACTTGGACTCAAGGATTTGAATTTGGTGGTCAAAGTCACTGTGTCTCCAGAAAATATGATTTTGGCCATAACTTATGGATTCATACACTAATTGTGACAAAATTTAACACAAATCTCTAGGATAGGATAAAATGATGAAGTGAAGACATTTTATATCCAAATGTCAAAAGTGAACTTCACTGGGACATCGTAGTGCTCTGCAAAAATACTTTTCTGGCCACTATTCAACATCACATCTCAGGAACAGAGGGGGAGACATTTGGTCAGATACTGAATTGTTGACACTCACCGTGAAACCGTGCTCATTGTATAGATCTTTTGTGCTGTTGATATGTGTAAAGCATCCATGTTTTCATAGTCATGGATGTAAATTGTAGGTGCAACATGACTGGTTTGCAAAGGCGTACAACTGCAATGTGATAATTCTAGTTTGACCATCATCTGTTTAAAAAAAGACTTAATGAGACCAATAGCTTGTTCAGTGAACTTGTGTTTTTCTTTGACTGTTGATGTCAGCAATGAACCTTGAATGCTTATTGCACTGTAAAAACTGTTAAGTCTAATTGGTAGTTTTTTAAGTAACCAAGACGCCATGGTGGTCCCTTGCATGTAGTCATAAAGCCAACAGGTCCCTCTTAAATATGAATTATGTGCTTGGTTACACAGTTTCTAATGTTGTATTTATTGTTTTATTTATATACTCACAGGACAGATGCCCACACATGGCCCAGATGAACCGTAAGTAAACACCCTCTATACATGAATGTGTTTGTCAGAGTGTCTGTGTGTGATAAATGTCCTACAGCAGGCATATATTAAGTTTGGCCCAGGGGCCAATCAGGCCCATGGAGCAATTTTAAACAGTTTCAGCTTGTTGTTTAATATACTATATTTGGCCCACTACACAATATTGGTTAATCAAGTAAGATCATATGCATTCTTTCTGTTCACCTCATGATGGCAGGACTATCATGCAGTTTGTAGCCATGCATCAAGGAGGAGCTACACAGGTGAAGCTAATGTGTTTTCATTAACAGATGATAAACAAACAAACTAACAGTTACCTAACAGCAGACCTACTAAGTAGCACACATGGCCACAGCAAAGTAGGGTTGTAAGAAAATATTGATTCACTTGAGTATCATGATTTTATGTTTTGTGTTACTGCATTGATTCTCAAAAATACTGTATCGATCTTTAATAGTTGACATGAAAAAAATATGTGGCAGTGGATCATTTTGTGTTGAGAGCCTACTGTTCTGATTGCATCAAAAAATAACTTTTTTATTCAAAATGTATGCATGCGGTGGGCTGTTCTTTATTAAGGTTTTCCTAAAATTCTATTAAGATATACCACAATATCACCTAGCTTACAGTATTGCATAAATTATATCGTAACCCTTTTATCATGATATGTATCGTATCACCAGATTCTTGCCAATACACAGCCCTACAGCAAAGAAGTGTAAAGTCAGCAGATTTGAATTCTTTTTCCATTGAAAAATGAAACAGTTGAGTCCCATTTGTACAGGGTTTTTCTAACAACCCATATGATGTGATAAACAGCTGGCCCCCAGGTATTTTCACATTGTCTAATCTGGCTCCCATTGAATCAGCTTGGACACCCCTGTCCTGCAGCAACAGTAAGAAAAGCCCTCCACACTGAGAATATTTTCATCACAGACAGAATTTTTGTAAACAAGTTTTAAAATTAAGATCTTTTAAGTAACAGCCACTCCCACCCTGTAACATGGGATATAGCTTTAAAAAGATAATATTTTCTTTGTTGTGTTTGTAGTGCCTTTGAAGGAGAACAGCGTCTGTGGTCTACAGTTCCAATGTAATTCAATGTAATTAGGTTTTCACAGCAGGAAACCTCTCAAACCACTACTGCAGTGGTACCCACCCCTGTGCTGTCCATCTGTACATCTAGTCAAGTGGGTTTTTTTTTTTTTGCCAAAATACAGCTAAACACATTATTTCCATCAGAGTGAAGGCACAAGAAAAAAGCATTGCAATGCAGCAGCACATCAGAGTGAAAGCCTATTGAAAGCCTCAAGGTCAAAGAAATATTTTTAAGAAGTGCAATTTTTTTTAGTCAAATGTACTTTAAAAATGATGGAAACTCACAAAATGGTGATATGATATGGTATACTCTATAAGTGATATAATACATTTTTCATCTGTCAAAAAAATAACAGATAGGCTATTGAGTTGCCTGGCCATACAGTCAGTCTGAAAATTATGTAAAATGTACGGTCAACTCGTTGGTTTTGGATCATGTTTATGTTTTAGAATGATTCTGTGGTAAGAATTAAAGTTTTGGGTTTGAATTCAGATTAGATTTGTAAATTACCACAGCTAATAGCCATTTCCTTAATTAGACTAGTTAAAGATCTGTAGTAGTGAGTGTGGATTCAAACATTGGTATTTAGGAAATGACTGTAATTAATAAATATCCTCACATTTAGTAGTTGAAATGGTGTTAGAAGAGCCTGCCCAAAGCTAGAATGGGCATGCAAAGACATGTCAGCTCTCATACCTCTACTGCTTTGACTGACTATTAGAAAGGGTGAAGATATTGTGCTGTGCTGCCCTGATTAATGTAACCAAACCATGAGGGTAGCACGACATTCAGCCTTTTCTCTTTCTCTGTCTCTCTGTCTCTGTCTGTCTGTCTGTCTGTCTGTCTCTCTCTCTCTCTCTCTCTCTCTCTCTCTCTCTCTCTCTCTCTCTCTCTCGTGGCTTTGACTCACCAGAATGGGCTCAGAATAGATTCCTCGACCAGCAGTCAGACACAAGCCAGTGGTTTGGACAGGCCTGCTCTGAGCTGGAAAGAATGCTGATTCATGTCCTCAGTCAGACCAACTGTTTCTGTATGCCTCTTCCAGGGAGCTTATCTCATCAGCCAGCAATATGACTCATTTAATGTAGTTTATTAAGAGCTGGGGGAGAGGGAGTATTCATCAGGGGGGCACTAGGCAGGGTAAAATGTCCTTTTATCTGTTCAAACAATAATTGGTAGCGTTTACATTTCCTTGTAAAGTTCATAAGACAAGTCAAAGTGACAGCATAAGTGTAGGAACCAGAATATGTACCTAGCCTTTGTTGTGTGATTAGGCTGCACATTGGCGCAGGGGTGTGGTTTCACATTATTTTTCCTGTTCACACAGTGGTATGGCGACATTCAGATAAAGAAGGTAAATTAGGCTCTGATATTTTCTGTTGACCATCGCATCATGTCACATCATGTCATTCCGTTTTGTTAATAAACCTTGCCTTAGTTATTACAGTTGTCTTTTTGTTTAATAAGCATAAAACACACCTGGATTTCAGCATGGATTTGTTTGGAAGTGTCACAGTTTAGAGCCTTAGGCCCGTTCACACAGAAAGTGTTTTAGCAGCTGGAGAAATGGGTGCCGTAGCATTGTTCCGACCCCTCATTGTTCCGACCTCTCATTAGTCCGATGTCCCGTTGTTCCGATATGTGATTATACTAGGCTATACTGTATGTACGGTATTTGTGTACCATAGAGGATCAGCAACGCAACAAAAGTAGGCTACTGGTCAAGATACAAGTGTCATAGAGAGAAGAGAATGAAACAGCATAACCTCCTGTTATTAACTCTGGGCTCGGGGTTGTGCAGGGAGCTCTCCGCGGTGCTAAATGGCTCCAGGCAGGCGTATTTCTGCCTTGATGGTGCGCCGCGACCGGCTCTGGGTCAGCTGGGAAAGGCTTGAGGCGAAGCAGGCTCACGGCTTATATGTTTGCCGCTTTCTTTTTCATTTTAACCCACACCACGATCTTTTCCTAACTCTAACCAAGTGGTTTTTGTGCCTAAACCTAACCAGACCTTAACCACAGGGCTTTATGATGATTTCGGAACAACAGGACTTCGGAACAGTGGGTTTAATATGGTTGGACCAATGGGCTGTCGGACCAATGGGTAGACCCTGGAGAAATGAGAATCAGCAAGCTTTTTGTTTGCTGATTTTGTGTTGCTATGTGCCCTGAGTTTCTGTACATTAGGCGCTTGCTGTTTTTGCCAGAGTGCTCTGAATTTCTCGAATTGAAAAAACTTCAACTCAGAGCATAAAAGCGCCCCACGTCGTCTTTGTTTTTTTTCCATTGTCCAAGTGGATGATTTGAGAGGCAGGCCTTCTGTGGTAGTCATGACAACAAGTTTACAATTGGTGAGGAGAAACTGGTGGTAGCAGCTGCTGGATGCCCAGAGCTGTATGACTTTACAAACCTCAGTTACCACCATTTCAATAGAAAACAGCAGGCGTGGAAGCATGTCAGTGCAGTTCTTGAAATGGCCATCATGGAAGTGAAGCTCCAAGACCAGCTGATGATACTTCCCATGATCCACCCTCTTTTTCTGGGTCTTATGTGCCCACACAGATCTCAGTTTCCCTGTGCCCAACAAACTATTTGCTGACAGCCTCTCTCCCTCAACCAGAGCTACAGCAAGTACCCTCTGCCTGTCCATTTTCAAACCCACCAACTAATTACTGTGAAATAGATAAAATAAAAAAACTAATAAAAATAAACAACAGGTTGATTACACGAAAGGGTTAGGGTAAGGTGATAGGGTGTTTGCCTGGCAACAATAAAAAGGGGCAGCAAGCATTTTTTACTTGTTGCATTCTTTTTTCTTTTTTTTTAAAGGGCAGTGCAGTGCACTTCCTGTGTGACTGGGGCCTTAGCTTCTTAACAGTTTTTTTTCACTGATAGTAGATTTTATAAATGGTAGTTTTACAGTGCCACATTATCAGTATAAAGTCACAGGTGTCCTTTAGAACAGAGGAATTATTGGTAGAACTACTGTGCCCTAGTTAGTGTTGTCAAAAATATAGACATGTCAATACATTGCTATTAGCAAGGCTTTCTTGCTCCCTCTTATTGTTTAAGTTTACTACAATCACCATTCTGCTGTTGCTGCTACTACTAGCAGTAGTAATACTAACTGTGAATTATATTTGCTCAATGTCAGTTTGCCCAGTGGTATCAAAAACTGCATCAAGTATTGATATTTTTAAAGAGATTGTATCAAAGTTAGAAACTCCAGCATTGTTACAGCACTAGTCCCTGTAAAAGGAAGAGGTGGTCCTACTGTATTTCAAGCTGCAACTGATTACTTTCATTATGAATTGAACTGCCAATGATTTTTTTAATTGTTTGATTAGTTGTTTTATCTGTAAAATATCAGAAAATAGTAAAAAATTTCATGTTGCCCTCGTCACATTTTTAGGTGTCTTGTTTTGAGATGTAAACATCTTCAGTTTACTTTAATGTATGAAGAAATGTAACAATTCCCTCATCTGAGAAGCTGGAACCAGCAAATGTTTGGCATTGAACATCGAAACAGTTACCGATTACTTTTCTGACAATCAATAAATAAATTAATCAAGTAGTTGTTGCATTTCCAAGTGTGCTAAAATAGTAAAATGAAGTAGGCCAACTTTGTCACACTAGGAGTGTGAGTTAGATGTACTGTGCCACGGTAGCACTAGGATTGCAGACTGCAACCAGCTGAAAAAACTCCTGATTAGAATTTTTTCAGTGTTCATTGTTTAGGAAGTTTTTACTGGGAGTCGAGTTATCCACAGAGGTCTCTGCCTCTCAAATCAACCTCGGCCAGCCTCTACCCGGTGATTAACACTAGTAAAAACACTGAATAGACCAGTTTCACATTAAAAAAGTCAGTGTTTCTTCTATGCTGTTTGGCACAAAGCAGGCTTCCTCTTGAGGGAACCAGGGCGACGCTACAAAAAACATCATCCCTGCCCCAGTCTATACCAGGGGTGGGACTCACCAGAGGATTCACAATTCAATATTATCATGATACTTAAGTAATAATACAATATTATTGCAATTTTAAATATGTTGCAATATGTGATGCTACTGTTACAGAGTCTATTGGTGCTTTTAAGTTTGACCCAGCTGTTATTGCAAACCACCACTTACTAATAATCGGGGTGTGAAACACCAGAGGATCAAGGATACGATATTATCAAGGTACTTAGGTCAAGATACAATATTATTGCAAATTTAAATATGTTGCGATGTGCTGAGTATTGCAATAAAATATATTGTAATATATTGCGATTTATTATCTTGTTTCAACTGTAAATTATGTCCTTAGAGGAAAACTTAATCAACTTCAGTTTTATCCAATAACATAAAGTTGCAGCCAAGTCAGAGGAATACACTTCTACTTCCCTTCCAGACTTCTTTAGAATGGAGAAGAAGGGATCAAAGCCTGTTACATAAAACAGATGTCTACCTTAATTTATCAGTTAGGGACAGGGGGAAAGAATTGATAGAGCATAGTATCGCAATATTTTTGTGTGGCAATATCGTATCATCACACATATGTAAACCATTAATATGACAAATACAAATGAAACTTTAGGTAGCCTTCTGGGGAAATACAATCAGTTGCTTTTTCAGTTCACTAGATACATTTTCCTGCTGCAAAAACATGGCTGAAGTGAGATGAATAGACTGAAAACTATCTTATTATATAAAACAGATGTTGACAAAGTTTTCCTTTGGCTACATAATTTACAGTTGAAATAAGGTAATGAATTGCAGTATGTCACAATACTCAGCATATCGCAACATGTTTATAATCAAATTAATATTGTATCTAGACTTAAGTATTGTGATAATATCGTATCATGGATCCTCTGGTGATTCCCACCCATGTTATTAGTGAGTGGTGTCAAAATCAAAAACAACACACAACTGATAGACTGACTTTGTTTAAGTAGCATCAAACATATTTCAGTGAGGACCACTTTTGTCAAAGAAAACTTCATTTCCATTGTAGTATTATATTTGGCTTCATGGCTCTGTTCTGGGGCCTCTCTGCCCTTCCTTGGGCCTGTACAAAAAAACAACTAAGGTGGAGACAGCACTCTCTCTTTCACGTGCATATGAGGAAAGCCTGAGGCAGAGAGAGCAAACCTCCCTGCCCTTCCATGCAGGTGAAGCATAAGGCAGGGAGAGCAGCAGCAAATACCCCATGGGGACAGAATAGAGCCAGCATCAATGACAAACAGAAATTACATTGATTAGTCAGACACAACATGAAAAAGAGGAGCTGGGTATGAGGTGGGTTGCAAAGCGGCTTGGAGAGGAAGCAGCTGGGGTTGACATTGTGTCCTGCCTGAACTCACGTTATGCTCAGTTTATTTGAACAGAAACCACAGTCTTTTCCTAAACTTAACCAAGAAGTTTTTTGTGAGGTCATAGTATATAAGAGGTCATAGTCATTTCAAGAATTTCTTTGAGATCAAATTGCCCTTGACCCATGGCAATTGTAATTAGCTAAAACTAGCTGATTACATATTAGATATTTTATCAGTTTGTTACATACAGGAAAGGGTCATATATATTTTATACACATCATTAGCCCACAGTACATAGCTCTAGTAGTAGTTGTAAGTGGCTGCTATAAAAATGTAGTTACTCCCCGGGGTCAATAAGGTGACTTAATTTTTGGTTTTCTCTCTTTTTTCCTTTTTTTGCTGTCTTTCTCTACTTTTTTAAAATTGTGCTTAAAATATAAATTGTTTTTCTTTTCAGGTCACATGAAAAAGGTTTCTGCCAGCCATACCGAGGCATTGCCTGTGCTCGCTTCATTGGCAACCAAAGCATTTATGTCGAGTCTCTGCAGATGCAAGGGGAGAGTGAAAATCGCATCACAGGTAAGAAAATCATCTCACAAGTAAGAAAATCAACTGACTCTCTTAGATTACTCTGCTATCAGTTAACAATTTGGTATAATTATATATCTGAGATTACATAAACATGACATATGTCTCCACTTCCTTCCTCCAAGCTGCCTTCACTATGATTGGCACCTCCACCCACCTGTCAGATCAGTGCTCCAATTTTGCCATCCCGTCCTTCTGCTACTACGTCTTCCCCTTATGTGACGAGGGCACTCGGGCCCCTCGGCGGCGTCAGCTCTGTCGAGATGAGTGTGAGGCCCTGGAGAACGACCTGTGCCACACAGAGTACACCATTGCCCGATCCAATCCCATGATCCTCATGCAGCTGGAACTCCCCACCTGCCATCTACTGCCACGGCCAGGCACGCCTGATGCTGCATCCTGTATGAGGATTGGAGTGCCACCAGAAAAACTGGGTCCATGTAGGTGGATGTACACATGACAGATACTGATGTAAAAGCACCCTGCCCATGGAAATTAATGTAACATTTTTTACAACAATTTACAGCTAGTTTAGCAATGTAATACTAAGTGGGGCTGGGCAATTAACCAAAAATTTACTGAAACTGACGTCATTTATCCATTCAATGACATTCTTTACATAGACTGTCATTTTATCTTACCTGTTTAATGCACTCAGAAGTGCAGAGGAATCCCATCAAACCCAAAGTATAAACAGCCAGTCAGTGTCTGTAAAAGTATGCTTTTGGCCTTTGTGTCTGGGTAATTCAGTCAACATTGTTCCTTCTTAAAGTATTAAGTGATGCAATTACCCATGAGTTCAATCAAACATGAACACAGAAAATGACTCGTGGCAGACCTGTCAGCTAGGGGCTGGTGCAGATTAGGAAGAGCTGGTACAGAATACACATACCGTGTTGGTCTTGTGGATAAATATAAATACACCTTAAATATAAATACTATCAGATTTGGCACTTCACTGAGGTAGTTTTTTTTACAGCTTCAAGGCTCATCATGAATTATCCCGTGATGTCATGATTGCTAAACGAATCGTCCAACAGTTGGGAAATACTCACATAGCATTTCTTTTTAAGAATGAGATGTTCAGATAGATATTATCCTCATGTCTGTGTGTTAAGCACAGAGTTGGAATTGGGATTTGGTTAGCTTAGCTTAGCATTAAGACTCGAAGCAATGTACATTGTATCTTCTTGTTCACCAACAGACATGGAAAAAACATTAACAGTTTGTGATTGTAATGTGAGTTAGTGCTGGAACTATTGTTTTATCAATAGCTGGTTGCAGTGACTGTGTGTAGCTTCCTGAAGTCTTGTCATCCCAGTGTGGTTGCCAGGTTTGTGCCTGCACAGAGACCAAAACCAAAACCTGTGCTCAACAATAGTATGTGGCAAACCACAATTCCCCTTCCATGCTTGTATACTGGGAAAAGGACAGTAGTCCAATTAAATGGCCAAGTTGAGCTAAAACCGTAGCTCCATTTAACTGTGCATGTAAATGTATGGAGTGTTGTGGATAAACTGGATAAAGCCAGGCTTGCTGCTTTAACCTTCTACCAGTCTTTATGCTAAGCTAGGCTTACCACATCCTGACTCCAGCTCTGTACTTAACACACGGACATAACACAGATATCAGTCTTTTCATTTTAGTCTGTTATTTTTCTTTTAGAAATAACAATAATGGGGCGTCGGTGGCTTAGTGGATAGAGCAGACACCCCATGTACAAGGCTGTTGCCGCAGGGGCCCGGGTTCGACTCCAGCCTGTGGCCATTTCCTGCCCCCCCCAAAACACACACACACACACACACACACACACACACACACACACACACACACACACACCTGTCCTGTCAATTAAAGGCTAAAGTATCCCCAAAAGAAAGAACAATAATAATCATGTTTAAGTGTTCCATCAAAGCAGGAATCAATGTATTATCTAGCTTTGCTATATTTACACTGGAGTGGTAACTTTTATAGAAATAGCTTTAGTCATATTTACTGAAATTAGCATTATATCCAGACAGTAGTATATGAGACAGATAATCTGTGCATTAAATCATGTTTCATCTCCTCCTCATCACAGTGCTTCTGATGCCATTTGATTCCACTGTGGCTGAGCAGAAACAACCAATCAGAGGAGTCAATGCAGCTGTCATGCATGTCAATCACTGCTCATGAACTGTGAAACTAGGTTGCGCTAATCAAATATGAATCAAGCGTCGCCCTCCAGCCTGAGTCAATATTTGATCAGTGCTGCCTAGTTTGACAGTTTGACCACAGTTCACATGTAGTAACAGAAGCCCCTTACCCATTGCACAAAAACCTGCTAAGACCTCCTAACATCTGGCTTTTTAATGAAATGGGAAAGGTTTTAATCTGCTCTGACACCTGGGCCAAATGACTCTGCAGTAGTCATGGGTCACCTCTTGCTCTGATCAGCATTAATGGGAACACAATCCGCATGAGCAAACTAATTCTAGCACCTTCACAGGTGAAATACCATGAAGAGCCATCACAAAATACCACCTGTCTTCGCCCAAGCAGCGCTCAGATAGCATTCCAAATTAATCTGCATGGAGTTTGAAAGAGAGAGTGAATAAGTAAGAGACAAATAAAAAGAAGTTACCATCATAAAGTTTTCATAGGTCTCCATGTTACTCTCTACTGTTTACCTGTTCTATGGCTTGTCCATGACGTAGAATGTGACACACCAAAAAAAAAAAAACCCACACACAGAAAGGCACACTCATCTGCTGCAGAGCTATTCTCATCGTCTGGCAGTGGGAAAGGAGTCTATAGCCTATACTTTTAGCTGTTTTACCCTTGTTTAAAAACACGCGCACAGGCGCTTATTTTGGTGGAAAAGGGATTGACATTGACATGACTGACAGCTCCATTTGAGACTCCTAGTCTCTGATTGGATGTTTTCATTTATCCAGTGTTTATTCTTGCAAATGCTATTAGAAGCACTAGGAGGAGGCAGAGGAACATGATTTTTTTCACACTTTATCTGTCTCATGTATACTGCATGGATGTAGTAACAGCTTAAGCAAACATGACAAAAAGTAATTTTTTTATTAGTTGTAATTTACCATCTGTACCTTCAAGCTCTACAATGTGAAATATAGAAAGTGAACAGAGTAATATTTGAACAAGTCAGTCACTGAACCAACTGAAAAATAGACAAGTTCTGAATATGCAATCATTTTGTAAACCCACTAAATGTAAGTCAACTCTGGTATAGTCTGTAGGAGCACTCACACTGAGTCACTCAGTGTGTCTCAAATCACATACTTGTGTACTAAATAATTAATATTTTGAGTGCACAACCAGCTAAGTGCATTCACACTGCATAGCATGGGAATATGCAGTGTACTACTGGCGCACTCAAAACGGTCCAAAAGTTGGAAGAGAGTGGAATGATGAATTTTTTTGCACCAAGTACAAATATTGCTGTCTAATACAAGCCGTCAGTAATGTTTGTTGGGTCTGTAATGATTTGGTACTACGAACAATAATGCGAGTGCTAACGTTAGCATTCGTTAGATAGTTAACTTACTCCTAGCTACAGCAGCACATTTTTATCAGCATTGATGTTGTGTAAGTTTGGTTTATGTGTGGGCAGAGACAGCAGCAATAACGACGGAAAAATATTTTTTTAAAAAGAAAAAAAAAAAGCTGTCGTCACTTCTGATAAGTGCAAAACAGCAGTGTGCTATTTGAGACATTACCCTGTTGATATTAGTGCACCACGCAAGAAGTGCGTAGTGTACAGAGTGCACTACATTGAAGTGTAATATGTAATGGAAGGATGCAATTTGAGACACACTCACTGTCTGCTCCACAGATTCCCCCACAGACCACAGCTGCTACAATGGAAGCGGGGCTGACTACAGGGGCACAGTCAGCATCACTAAATCTGGTCATCACTGCCAGCCGTGGAGTGCTCAGTACCCTCACAGTCACCACCTGTCCCAGGAATACCCCGAACTCTGGGGAAGTCACAACTTCTGTCGTAACCCAGGGGGCCAGATGCAGGCGCCCTGGTGTTTCACCCTGGACCCTCAGGTCAGGGTGGACCTGTGTGACATCCAGCCCTGCAGTAAGTACCATAATGCAACCAATGTATTCTTAACGGTTACTTGGATTGTTAACATTTTCAGGTTACTTTCAGGTAACATAATAAGTGTTATGTACACCAGATGTACTTCACATTCATGTATGTCATGCATGTGATGTGTTCCAGTGGCAGATACCACCCTCCAACGGTGTATGCTGATGGCCACTCTTGCCTTAGTATCATATGTTGACACTACATTGTATTTTTGTGGCAACAATTAAGCCCCTTTTAGACACAAACATCCTATGTAAATGTAATGGCATTTTTACATATCAGTCTCATGTCTAAATAAGCACCTGAGTCACTCTTAGTTAAAAGTCAAGCAGCAAACTGACTGTAACATTCATGGAATCTAAAGTTCTGTTCAAATGCTTGACAAAGCTGATGGTTTGAGGGTGGTACACACTAGTTCCCACAGTGTGTGTGATATTAACAAGGTGCTCTGGTCAATTAGGATCTCTCTTGGGATCCCAGCTTGGGAGATGACCTATGACAGCACCTGTGCAACACTCTTTGCAGAGATAGTGCGCAGGGGCACTGCCTTGAGATATCATGACGCAAATTTCACCAGGACTAACACAAAGTGATATCCACATGTGCTCCCATGAAACTGCCCAATGAGGTTCATCCCAGTACGCCCAAATGGATCTACAATGAGAGGCAATGGGCACAAAGGCTAGTAGGTCAACCAACAGACATTCAGGGCAAAAATTATAGACTGCATACAGCCCAAATCCACCATCACCTGAGGTATACCCCCTTAAATCCTTGCTAGAATGCTGTATGTCCCACCTGAATAGAGAGAGGGCGAGTAATCAGAACCAATTGGCCGACCTTCATGAGTAAGCAATCCCTGTGGAAGTGTTTGGCTCTGGTGTTTGTCTATCTGAAGTGGAGATAAAGCAGAGGGAGAATAAGAGTGATGATGAAGGGAGGACTGAGCAAGTGATGCAGGAGAGTGGGCAGGGTTTTACATTTTTTGAGATGGCCAACCCTCTGATGCATGTTCCCCTGGGGTGGACGGCTTTGTGAGGATGATGGCGGCTGCCAGGTCTGCAGGGTGGTGACACCACATTACTCCAGCTTGCCAGCCAGCAGTCCCTCCACAAACTGCTACAGCACAACCCGCTCTAGTATCTGCCCATTGTCAGTGGACTCCACTGGCTGGACCAGCCTGGCTGCTGCATTTTTCAGCTTCTGGGACAGCATACAATGGGACGGTCCATGGGTCCCAGCTTGGTGTTCCAGAACTGGTGATGGTGATCCTCTAGAGAGAACCCATCCAGTTGAAGATGACACTCTGGATGTCCTGGAACCTTCTCTGAGAGGAGGCTGGCGGTTTGAGTGCCGTAGTCTGGACTGCCCTCCAACAGTGACAATGCCTTTTAAGTTCTCTGCTGGCATGTTGTGTGAACAAAAGTATCACTTTACCACTGTGGGTGCAGGACACTGTGATGTATGATAATCTATTGTCAACATGTATTGAATAATTGAGTTTAGTGTTAGTGGTTGGTTGGTTAGAAAATGCTTGAGTGAACAACAGATGCTGCTGCCTCCCCTGGAACAGTTTAGGGACTTTATTCCATTATTGTCACTTAATGAATGTGTGAAAGACAACTGAGACATCATCTTTTATCATGATGGGACCAACAAGATTCTTTCAGACTAGAGGGGAGCTGAAATAAGAGACTGTGGGTAGCTGTAATGCAGGACAGTACTGTGAGTAATCTGTCAACACATCATTTGTAACGTTACACTGCAGTGCAGTGGTGGATGTTTCTTTAGATGTCCTTTTGTCCTGCAAGTTAATCATGTGCTATAGAATCTATTGGCATGCTTTCCAGTTTCCACATCCAGTAGCGGATCCTGATATGGGCCAAATGGGCGTTTGCGGCACTTTGTCATGATGTGTGGGGGGGGCGGCAGGAGCTGTTGTGCTCTGGCCTATTCAAGTGCTGGAATTTGTTATTTACGTGACAATACCTGGCCGCAACACAGGCTCCGTTCCAGTTGAGTGTGTGTCCAGTGCTGTGTTGTGCTGCTGTGTGAGCAGCGTGTTACACACTGTCCGTAACAATAACTATGCCAGGTAACAAACTGCGTCAGACTCGGGAGGGTTCAGTCAGGAAAATGCGGCCTGAGCCGCGCTCTAGTGTGCTCACCTGTAATGCGTGTGTGTTTGTGTGTGTGTGTGTGTGTGTGTGTGTGTGTGTGTGTGTGTGTGCGTGTGCGTGTGCGTGTGCGTGTGTGTGTGTGTGTGTGGTGTGTGTGTGTGTGTGCGCGTGCATTGGGGCATAACTCCACCGTGCGAGATACAGAGAGCAGAAGAGATTTGTAAAGGGCGACCATGTATGTATGATTTAGGCTAGAACCGCTACTGTCCACATCCCCCTGTTGATGGCATTATGCAGTGTCTTTGCATGGTTGACCTCAGGACCCAGTCAAACTGCAGACAGTGTTATTACTAGCTACTGTAGAAAAATGTCCTTTGACATTTTTAAGGTCAACAGAAGTCAACTTCTGTAAAGCCTGAACTTTTCCCATTTCTTGGCGCACAAAGTGGCCTCTCATATCCCCTCCTTTTCTCTGCTGAAGCATGTGGATCTGTTGGCTGGGAGCAGGTGGCTTTGGGTTAAGAAGTCACACAGGTGGTCGTCCACTTAGCATATAAACGGTGTGGTTTTATTTTTTCATGTAAACTGTTTGAGCTTGAAAAAGCACAGTACTTCAGCAGGGGCAGTTACTGGTATGTTCTATTTTTGCCTCTCTGCGCACCATTGCTAATTATTGAAACTTTCTACAGGGTAGTTATTTTAAGTGTCAGGAAAAAAGGCCTGTTTCCTGCTAAAAAAAGCCATGAGATGAGGCAAAAATGTGCAGCTGCTGTTCGAGATGCAGTGTCGGACTAATTCAGTTAGACAGTTGCCAGAGCTTTGATATTTTAAATGCAAAATATTCAGTGCTATGCAGGTACTGTAGGATCAGGGGTGGGCATCACTGCTATAGTGTACAATATATTGCTGCTGGTTGCCATGGAATTGGTCCAGCTTTACAGATGCTTTAAGCACACTGCCAGTTATAATTAAATCTGTAGTGACAAATTTTCCCTTATAGTTTTCCGATGTGTGGAAATACAGTTTGTCTCTGTCTCACTGTTAGATCTAAGATCTGAGATCCAAGTCTCACCAGGCCCTCTGTAGTTTTTCAATTATTTTTTAAATATTTTTTCACATTTGTTTCATTAGGGCCACACCCTTGGATGGATTACCAAACAAGCCTTAAAGGCACAGGCCCACAAAACGATCAAAAAAGACACAAAATGATGCCAAAGAGAAAAAAATGACCAAAAAGTACAAAAAATGACTTCAAAGAGACACAAAAATGACCAAAAGAACACACAATTAACTCAAAGAGACACAAAATGACTACAAAGAAACACAGAAAAGAGAGGCAAACCCACCACAAAGTCTGTGTTTTTTGGTTTCTGGGTAGGAGAGTTGGTGGGGCCTGTGGTTTTAAACTTGAATTATCCATGGTGATGTTATTGGTGATGGTTTGTGGTGATGTCTCATCACATCAAGTGCCCATAAGATAAAAGCCTTTCTTATAACTGTCAAAGGAAAAAAAATACATTTGTAGAACATTAAATCAGGGTGATAGTTTTATGTATCTTGACAGCACTGATGATGTATTCAAAGAAAAAACAAATGAACTGTGTTAATGCATTACAAATCAGAGAGATTAACCTGCTGCTATCTCTATAATCTTACAATCTTCAGAGCCTCCAGAGAATCCCAGGAAGGAGATCCTGTTCATCTTAATCCCTGCGATTGCAATCCCATTGGTCATCGCTTGCCTCTTCTTCCTGGTTTGCATGTGTCGCAATAAACAAAAGGCATCAACTGACACACCACTTCGCTGCCAGCTTAACAGCTCACCTAACCAGGACATGGAGCTGTCTCTCCTCAATCAACAAAAACATCAGGTAAACCACACACAGTACAGACACTCATTGATGTAGGAGTACTACATTTATATTCTTTCTGATGTATGGCTGTGTTCAGACCAACAATAGCACTGCATTAGAAAACACAGCCCCCTTATTCATTTTACCACAAAATAAATGATTAAGCACAAATTCATAGAGGAACTTGTACCATGATAATCTCAAATTATAAAGGCTCGAATGCTAGATTTAAAGGGATAGTTCGGATTTTTTGAAGTGGGGTTGTATTTAGTACTTATCCATAGTCAGTGTTTTACATACAGTAGATGTCAGTCAGCACACCACCGGTTTAGAGAAGCAGGCTGGAGTCTGACACAGAAGCTAGGCAATGTACTGCTGTGGAGGGATCAGCAACAAAACAATCCCAACCTAAAACAATCAATATCACTTGAAGTTTACACCATATTGATAAAAGCCTGTTCCAACGGGAGAGGCGTTGACAGCTTCAGTCTCCCATCTATGTTCTTGTCAAAGTCACCAGACTCCATTGACAAAAACAGTAATTTAATGTTTGCTGAACACGAGAGCTGCTGGTCTACCACTGCTGTAATCAGTTAGTTCGTTTGTGTTATTGTGTGACTGGTGAATCTGACCTAACCCTTTTAAATGCCAAAGTCACAGAATAACACAAACAAAGTAACTGATCAAGGCAGCGGTAGACCAGCAGCTGCTGTGTTCAGTTATATTAAATCACTGTTTTCTCAACAGAGTCTGGCTTTGAAGAAAATTATATATTAACTTCAATTTCCTGTTGGATTTCACTGTCTGAAAAAAAGGTAAAGCAGTGAAAATATTATAAAGGTAAGTCTTAGTTCAGGTGGCTAAAATAAATTTTGTTGCTGACCCCTCCACAGCAGTAAATTGCTTAGCTTCCATGATGGACTCAAGCCAGCTTCTCCAAACTTGGGGTGTGCTGACTGACATCTACTGTATGTAATATACGGTCTATGGATAAGTACCCTATGCAACCCCACTTCAAAATATCTGAACCATCCTGGTGAACTGAGGGCCACTCTACAAGATTGGGCTTTAATGTTATGGAATAATCCAGTTGTTAATTTAAGGTCCCTCTAATTTTATTTATCTACTTTATTCTGTGCTGTTAGTGGTGCATCCAGTATTACCAAACAAATGTTTATACTACTGCAAAGCATACAGTGAAGCCTTGCACTTAATTTGTCAATCAAAACATGCAAGCACACATTTAGGGTGCATTACTTTATAATACGAATGGGGTGATTATACTGTTTACCAGGTGATTGTACAGAGTATAAAATGATTGCTTTTGTGGTAATGTTCCAGAGTTATAAAACTCTATTGTCATAGTATTAGAAACCACTGTGCAGTGGTTTGGTGTCTGACAGACCTTAAAACTCACGGATCTATTGCTCAAACTCAAATCTATGGATCTTATTTTATCATCTCATCTCTATCTGAAGAAGCACACCTGCACTGACACAGATGCTTTTGTATTCTTATTGCAGTGCTAGTTTGGGTCTGAACACCCATCAATGAAAATGAAAGTGACCTCTGTAGACCTGTATTATGGACTGTTGCATTGCAGCACTAAAGTATTGCAGTTGGTTTTATTGTTGGCCGTACACTTTGATGACATGTTATTGTATTTATTGCTTTGTGGCTGCAGGCCAAGCTGCGGGAGATTAACATGTCAGCAGTACGGTTTATGGAGGAGCTTGGCGAAGATCGGTTCGGTAAGGTTTACAAGGGCCACATGTATGGCACCGCACCTGGTGAGCAGATCCAGGTGGTGGCCATCAAGACATTAAAGGACAAAGTTGATGCCACTCTGTGTGAGGAATTTTGCCACGAAGCCATGCTCCGCTCTCACATACAGCACCAAAATGTTGTTTGTTTGCTGGGTGTGGTGACCAAAGAGCAGCCAATGAGCATGATATTTACCTACTCTGGCCTTGGTGACCTACATGAGTATCTGGTGATGCGCTCCCCCAACTCAGATGTTGGCAGCTCAGATGATGAAAAGACAGTCAAATCCACACTAGAGCAGGCTGATTTCCTTCATATTATCACCCAGATTGCTGCCGGAATGGAATACCTTTCCAGCCAGCAAGTCGTCCATAAAGACCTTGCTGCTCGAAACATTCTAGTCTTTGACAAACTCAGCATCAAGATCCTGGATCTGGGCCTGTTCAGAGACGTCTACTCTGCTGATTACTACAATCTCATGGGCACAAGTCCTTTCCCCATTCGTTGGATGTCCCCAGAAGCTATCATGTATGGCAAGTTCTCCACCGACTCCAACATCTGGTCTTATGGTGTCTTGCTGTGGGAGACTTTCAGTTACGGTCTGCAGCCATATTGTGGCTACTCAAACCAGGATGTGATTGAGATGGTGCGCAGCCACCAGCTCCTGCCTTGTCCAGATGACTGCCCAGCCTGGATATACACCCTCATGCTGGAGTGTTGGAGTGAATTCCAAGCAAGAAGGCCTCGCTTCAAGGACATCCACATGCGGCTGCGCTCCTGGGAAAGCCTGTCTAACTACAACAGCTCTGCTCAGACTTCTGGCACCAGCAACACTACCCAGACCAGCTCCCTCAGCACCAGCCCTGTGAGCAACATCAGCATGAGCACAGCGAATGCATCCCGCTACACTAGCCCTAAAAAGGGTTCACCATTCCACCAGCCCCAGTTCATGCCCATGAAGGGTCAAATGCATCGGCCAATGGTGCCACCACAGCTCTACATCCCTGTCAATGGATATCACCCCATGCCAGCTTACCCATACCTGCAGAACTTTTACCCCATGCAAATAACCATGCCCATTCCCCACCAGCAGATGCACCACCCACCACAGATAGTTACCAAAGCTGGTTCCCACCATAGTGGTAGTGGATCCACATCTACAGGCTATGTCACCACTGCCCCTTCCAACACTTCTGTCACAGAGCAAGCAGCTTTGCTAAATGAGGACTCCAAGACCAATGATGAGGACTTGGCTGACAGGGAGTCCCAGGAAGAGCCAGACCAAAACAAGGACTTGTTAGTGCCTGAAACCGAATTGCTAGGTGACAATGACCCTCCACAGACTGACGAACTGGTGTTTCACCTGTCAGACACATAAATGTGGTGCTCTTTGAAGAATAATAGAGCTGAGGTATGCTATGAGCTGTGCTTGCCAAAAATTCAATAAGCAGCATAAAGTGAAGTGAGCAATTTTGACTAACAGTGACTGAATGAACTTTCTTAGATAGTACTGACACATTTGAATGTCAAGTGTGTTTTATGTTTGCACCTCTCAAACTCCTGTGTCAGTGACTAAGCAAAATTAATCACACAATCCTCTATAGAACTTGTTTTTATAATGTTGCCATTCAGAGGAATTTATTCTCTTGCTGTTGTTGTGCAACACAAATTTCCCTTTCCACAAGTACGTTAGAGGTTGCCTTGCCTTAATGAAAGTTTTGCCTTTTTTGATGCACATTGTACCACTTCTTTTTGCTTGCCAGCAAAGGCCATTCATTGGGAGGCTGTAAGGGTGGGATTCACACCCCCAGTGCCCACCCCTCAACTTCAGATACCACATCCTTCTATACAGTCACACCGACCCAAAAGGGAATGCTAGTTCAGCAAAAAGTGAGATGATTCCTCACCATCTTTTCACCCGCTTGCAATGCCAGTTGTGTTTACTGGAAGACACAACAGGCTGTTCTCACAAACTGTTCACGAACTTCAAGTCATTTCAAGGTACATCCTCACCAAGTTTCTTTTCCTAAACCCAACCACAGTAACTTTACCTGTCTAAACCCGATCTCTCTGAACTTTTGTCTGTGCATTTTTATTGGATATCATACAAACCCTTCTATTGAGGATACGTTGGACACAACCAAGGCAGAGGTATTGCTACAGGAACTCAGACCTGAACCCAGGTTTCTGTACTAGTTGTGTTTTGCTTGGGCGCAACTTGTACACCCCTTAATGACAATTTAATGTTGTTTTTGGGGTTATTATTCTATGGTTTGTTAAAGCCACAATCATAAAAGAATAGAATGTATAAAGTTTTGAAAGAAACAGTCTATGGGTAACTTTGTTTACATGTACTTACTGAAATGTATTCCCGGAATGTACCTACATCAAACAAATCAAAGAATAAGACCCAAGACTCTTTTCTTTTTCAGGCCTGTGACAAAGTTCACATATGACTTATTACCCACAAGGTTGATACTTTTAACATCATCTTTGATAACCACATTGTACAGATTTTTAATTTGTGTACTTTGGTTTGAACATTTCATTTGTTTATAGTTTTTCTTTATTGGAGAAGATTCCTAAGCCCAGTGTTAGTACAATGTCTTTTCCACCACGTTTGTTTTGTTTAGGTAGTGTTTTGCTTACCATATAATATGTACATCCAGCTATGGATTATCCAATAAAGTCATATGAAAAAATTGTGTATTTTTTCTCAGTAAGAGGAGAAAGTCATGTCCTATCACTTAATTATATTTTGTCATAATCTGTCATTAGATGTGCCCAGAGTCTAATATATGATACACTGTACAGTCACGTCAGGCCACAGGTTACATTAGGCCAAAAATATACATTGTAGTGATGAAATACATGTATTACTGATACTAATAAATTAATCTCAACAATCACATACTGTACCTTTCCGTTGGGGTTTATATTCTTATTTACAAATACTTTATATATTGGTTTGTTGTGATTATATTTCCCTTTATTAAAACATCACAGCAGCAGATAAGCATGTGATAAATGTTCATCCCTGTACGAACTGACTAAAAATATGATGCATTATCTTGCCGAAAGTACCCATTTAACAACAAGAACACTGTGTTTGACAAAAGAAAACATAATTCAATGTCCACTTACTTTTTTATAGACCTTGCAACCACACCTCATACTCTTTATCCTTTATCCAGAGCTTGGCTAAGTTGTTTGTTACCAAAGTATGGCCACAGGATGCAGAGATTGTAATATATCTGTCCTGTTTAAAGGCTGGCTTTGTGTTACACCAATCAGATTTTGTCATGACCTGTGTGAGCCAATCATCTCTGCTTTTGGTAGCTGTGTCAGATCTATGCAACCAGGGCGGGCTGGGGTTGAAATTCAGCCCGGGAGCTTGATTTGGAGAGGCCTTTTTTCTGATCGCACGACGGACACAAGTGGAACCGTAATTTTAACACAAATACTTTATTTGCAGTATAAAAACAATCTAATGATATTAAACACAACACACACAGATTAGTCAGTCAGTAGTGTATTGAATATAATATAATTCTATGCAAAGACCTATTGCCAACCCAGTCCTGCACACTGCACCTGTACCTAGACCTGTTTTCCTGCTCCACTTTCCTCCTTCTCCTCCTCCTCTTCCTCTTCCTCTTCACACACACACACACACACACACACACACACGCACACATACTGTAAATGAATTACTCACTTTAATGTATTTTTCTTGAGCCAGTAAAAATGGCAATATATTAAAGGGCCAGTGGGTAATATTTGACATGGGTTATTGTCAAATCTGAATCTGAATCTGAATATTCTACCCATTAATATGTTTATATAAGTGTATATTCGCTATAAAATAAAATTCGTTTGGTTTTCGTAGCCTTGTAATTATGCTTATATGTATATATATATATATATATATATATACACATATAGCAAGGGCCTTGCTTTAGAGAGGTTGCCATCTTGCGCCGCCATGTATGTACGGCAGCCCGAGCAGACAGTCCAACCAGCCAGAGAACGCGTTTCGCGTGTATAAATAAACCAATGAAGACAGCGGAAGGAAGGAAGAAGGAGGAGGAAACAGCAGAGAGTGTTAGTAGTTCGTCGATAGAGAGTAGTGAAAAGTTTTTTTAGTTATAAAGTTTGCGAATGGACCACACTTACCACGCAACAGGAGAGAATGAACCCGAACCGTCATCTGCGAGGAAAAGAAGACGCAACTTCACTCCTTGTGATGCGGCGCTTTTCCTCCTGATGATATATCTCCCCAACGATGGTAGCACTGAATCCTCCGCTCCCATTTTGAGGATTCAGCCTCTCTTCTCACCCGCTCAGCATCCAACACATGGAGTTCCTCATCTGTATGCTCCGGCTCAAACAGGTATGGCTTTGGATCTGTGTCCGCTACAAGAAACTCTTCAAAATCGCGTTCAAAGTCGTCCATTCCAGCTACTATAGTCCGGAGATATTGCTAGGCTAAATAAACAGCTGAGTTTTGTGTACAGGCTACGCTGTCAGTCAGTGTGTGGGCTGGAGATTGGTGGAGCAGAGAGGGGAGGGCTGCCCCGCTGGGTACTGTAAAGGCCCGTTTCCACCGCAAAAACTTCGGGGTAATTTTATGGGGCCAGGGCCGTTGGTGCGTGTCTCCACCGCAGGAACCACCCCCGAAGGACAGAGTTCCGGAACTTTTACAGGGGTTAAACAAGTCCCTGCCTCGGGGTAGGTAGTTAGAACGGCCCCGAAAGACTCCTGGCTGGGGCTTGGGGATTACTTGGTGCTGATTGGATATACTCAAGGCTGGATGTGACTTTAACAGAAAGCGACAAAACAGCCAGCATTTTTAAAACTCAGCTGACGAGGGTTAGCTCGTTCATATAGCTTCCGCCGCCATGTAAAAAAAACTCACTAAATGGCCCGTGAAAAAAATAATTTTTCCAGCGGATATCTTAGTTACAACATGATTGAGCTAGCAAAGCAGTTTTGTGTTGCTATGTGTGGTATTTATTCAGTTATGGGAAATCACAATGTCTAGAAAGCATCAGTAGTGGCTGCAGCTGACAGGGACAGCTCACAACAGCATCTGTTAAAAGCCTCCCGTTGTAGGATACGACATGAAACTACTCCAGTTAGCTCAATCATGTTGTAACTAAGACATCCGCTGGAAAAAAAAAATTTTCACGGGCCATTTACTGAGTTATTACAGACACCGCTATCGGCTAACAGCTAACAACGTCCCTACGTTGCCCCAGTCAAAATGGTCGCGCAACGATTATGTCACATCCAGAGCCCGTAACTTTATAGGAACCTTCCTCGTACTCCACTCTCTCAGTGGAGACACGGCGGTTGAGAGAGCCGAGCGAGAGGACGTTCCTGTAGTAGTTCCTGCCCCCCAAATAGTACCAGGAACTTCTTCAGTGGAAACGGGCCTTAAGCGAGTACGTGTGTTTGAAGTGTGTGTGTTACGCTAGAAGAGTCAGAGTTTGGGACGGAGTCTTTTACGTGCTACACCCTGGAGTGTTACCGGAGTTTTTGGAGTGCTCAAATAAATGGGCCTTTTTCCCGAACGCTACTCTGGTCTCCTGCTTGTGAGTGATTGATTACAATATCGTAACATGGTTTAGATTTCTAAATAAATATTCACCTCGTCGCTAGATAGACCTACTCCTGAAAAACTCGTGTCTGTGCAAGGCTTTTTGTCCCTACGAGGCCACCGTCATTTACCCGACGGGAGGGGTGAGCGAGTGAGCCCTGCAATCTAGAATTTGACCACTGATGTCACTGTTTTGAACGGTTTTCAACCCATTTTACACACTGGCTCTTTAATGTAGAAACAGAACAGGAAAACAGGATGTATAGCCTATATTCAAATATTATCTTTTTAACTTTGAACACAGACTCTCTCCTGAAATAGGCTATGTTTTCTTTTGCAATAAAGAAATTTGTGCGTTTTTCTGGTCAGCCAGTATGGATTTATTTTTGATTGATAAAGCAGATTATTGATTTATGCACGTATGGTGTAACATTGCTGATAGGCTACCTTTAATGTTCTGTGTGCCCTGAACACATCCAAAAACACAAACTAGAGATGTCAATGGACCTGAAAATTACAACCTGACCCGACCCGGCCTGTGGAATTTTAAGCCCAGACCCGACACAGCCGACAGCATTAGCCTAATTGTCTGCCCAAAAAAAAGGAAGCCCGAGGCCCGACCCGGCCCGAGTCATTTGCATATTTTTTCAGCCCGAACCCGGCCCGACCCGTCTGGGATGATAGGGCCATGTAGGCAGTGCTTGCTAACCGCACGTATCCCCCCTTAATATGCAAAATATTAGATGGACCCAGTCTGACGTTCCACTCTGTGCCACTGCCACCTGCGGCTGCGAGGGCAGGCTGCTGCTCTCATCCGCGGGTGCATTTTATGGGGTAAAAAAATGTTACGACCACCATCCGGTTCGGCCTGGAACAGACCGGCCGTTCGGGAATACTCCCGAACCTCCCTATGGCCAGCCCGCCCCTGTATGCAACCCTCCTTCACTCCAGTCACCTCCAGTCTCCATTACAGCCAGCAAACAGAGGTCTTTCAGCTAACCCCCGTCGGAAGTCACACCCATCCAGATTGGTGGTGGTCATCCCATGACCACCACCAATGTCTAGACTCCATCAGGGGGATATTACTGTACCAATCTGGAAATCCATCGGTAAAAAATAAATAAATAAATACATTTCTTCCTTTACCTCTGGAGGCACTACCCGGTAGTTTTTGACTAACGGAAGTGCAGGGGCCTTGGGGATCGCTCACCCCCTTCACTTCCGGCGGTGCCCCCAGTGTTACACTCCTACCTGCAACTTGAACCAAATGGCGGTAAAAACGTTGCAGCTAATGCCCTTTTTTTCCTGTCGTGAGGAGTGGAAGGTGTGCTGGTGGATGCACAACGCTTGTAAGTTGTGCTGTTGTTCATGTTTTTCACATTGACGAGATGGCGTTTTGGGTGGAGCGGTTGCCATGGACACGGAGCTTGCTGTTTCTGTAGGTACACATTTCCTGGGGACACCTGCACATCTCGGCCCCGCCCCCTCCATTGTGATTGGCTTAAGCGCAGCATCCGTCAACCTCAAAGCCCCAGCCTCCCCCCCTCTGTAGTTGTCTTTCACACAGGGCTGTCGACAGATTCTACAATGTAAATTGCAGAATCTGTCTTGAGAGATTATTACTGTACAGCTCATGGCATCATTACCTTACAGTGATAACGTCACTCTGCCTTCATGTATTTTCAACTTTCCTATTGTGCACTATGTCATACATTTATTTATCATAAAGCCTCTTTTCAATCAGTTAAATCAGTCTCTCCTGATTGAAATGATACACCAGACTAAGTACAACTCCAATTCACTGTGTCACAACTTCCTCCAGACATTAGTGTTTTGTGTTTGTCTTGTCATTTCCTGTTTTATTTTGGTATTATCCCTCCTGTGTCATGCCTGGTGTCTTTACTTCCTCCTGCGTGATTGCCTCCCTCCTCCCTAATGTGTTTCACCTGTGTCTCGTTAACCTGCCTCCCTGCAGTATATATGCCCTGTGTTCCCCTGTCTCCGTTGCCAGTTTGTTATCAATTCCAGAGAGAGATACTTACCAGCGTTTTCTGCCTGCCTTCCTGTGAGAGATCTGTTTGTGACCCGTTTCCTGAGACCTGCCTATTCCCTGTCGGTACCGTCGCCAGTTCCCTGTTCATCCTGTGAATGATCCTGCCTGCTCTCACCTCTGTACCTCTGCATTACTCTCTGGATTCCTGGTTCTGACTCTGCCTGCCTGACCAACGTCTCTCATCTGACCCCTCCTGTTGGATCCCCAGCCTGTTTCCTTCGGGCCTGCCAGCTCCCCAGGAAC